AAGACTTCGGCAGGTGTTTAGCTGTAATTTCTCCGTTTATTGCTTACAGCCTTCTTCAAAGCCAGGAGTGTCTCTGACCTTGTGCCTATAATAAAGGCTATGTGTGATGGGCTTCTAGAAGTAACTCATGTAATTTCTCTTGGGCTATGTAATAAAATGGCACGTATCTGGAAATATTACAGTCACGTCATACTAAAAAATAAATCTGGGATTCATGATCACTCAAAATGACCAAGTGATTTTCTCATTATAAATACAGTTTTAAATAAAAGGGCTCCATCTTGTTTCCAACTTTTTATTTATTTTTATTTTGAATTAGAAAGGAAATGCCATTATTTAAATACTGTGTTTCAATCGGGAGAGAAAAAAAAAGCAAAGCCCAAAATCATAGGAGGAAGAAAAATTTTAACTATTTCTGCTGGCATAGTACTGGCAAATACAGATATCTCACAATCATAATGGAGATTAGTAGAGCTGGGTGTGCATATTTGTTGTGGATCAAAGATAGGATATAGTGATTAGAAGAATGACAATGCTTTCAACACTCACAAAGGGATTGAATGTGTGATGTATAATACTAATTCCACAAAACCTTTCTATGGCTGCTTACTGCACAAGGGATTCAATATGGATTGATCACTGAAAAAAAAAGTATTTCCTTCAGCTCAGCTGAATCAAACCCTTGCAACTAACCAAAAAGCTTTTCAGTATTGACACTGTCTGATTTAAGAGATTATTTCCCCCCCACCTGTTTACTTCACTCTTCTGCTACAGATTACTGTCCCCACAGTGTAACTGTCAGAGAAGTTTGTGTGCTACATTCCCAACGGCCATACTTCACAGTTCAGTATTTTAGCTTATAATTAATTGATTTTCCCTGAGTATTTATGGCCATTTTATATATACATGTGGCAGAAATATTAAAACAAAGATGTTGATGCAAAGAACAAACAGTAGCCTGTAGCCTGAGGATACATACCTCCGATTTTCTAACTAGCAGTCAGAAGCACAGACTCAGTTATGAATCTGCCACTGGTTCTACTAGGGGACTTTGGAAAGTCATTCAAACTCTCCTTGTTCTAGCTCCTGGTCTCTAACATGGGATAATGCTACTTGGGCATCATGGTGAAACTGTATTTGTAAATATGCGGTTATCCTTGCTAGAACTATTGCATTGGTGAATAGTTTTGAGCAAGCGTACTGCCATTTTGAGGCAGACTAGACTAGAGCTTTGGCTGTAGCACACCGAAGGGGAGAGAGCAGCATCCCCCAGCAGGGCCTTTGGACTATTTCACGTGAAAAGAGTTTCACAGCCAGCTAGAAAAGGATGTGCATCTCAGTCTCATTCCAGCGTGAATTTGGATCATGGCAATGATGTGCACTGGGGGTGGGACTTCCTATGTGGCATGGACTCAGCCAGTTTAGGAGAAAAGAAACTGCATTTTCGACTTTCTCCAACCAACTGAACAATTTTTTAATGATCGCTTTTCTTTCTAAAAAGAAAAAAACCTTCCTTGTAACATTAATAGGCTAATAACTTAGATGATACAATTTATGCGATATTAGAAAGCTTAGTAATCTGGTGAGGCCTAATTAAGAAAAATAATAATGTGTACCCAGGCACTGAACTTGCACAAGGTTTTCCAAATCTAGATCCATTTGCTGAGTATAAGGATTCGTCTACTGATTAAATTTTGGACTTTGCAAGCTACAGAGGTAGGGCTTAACCTGTTTAACTAAATACTTAATGCTAATAAAAAAACACCTTCGAGCTTCAAGCATCACTGTGATCATTATGAGAGGGACACCTGCTAATAATACCTGGGGAAAGGGGAAAAAGCTTTCCCTGTTTTCCTGTGTATCAGAGACAAGAATCTCTGCAGCTGTCATCTCTGGAGCTCAAGCTGAGGATCTAGAGGATATATTGGCAACATACTCCTGGAATGACTGCTAAGCAATGTGTGTGGCTTAGCAGAGGAAAAATACAGCATTTGGGATTTAACTTGACATCACCTCCCCTTGGGTGCTTACTCCCTTTGCTTACAAGACCTAGAGTCTAAATGCTGTAAAACAGGAAACATTTATGAACCAAGGCCGGAACCTTTCTTGCTACCTAACTGCATTCTCCAGGAGCCAGCCCCTGGTCTGCTGCAAGCAGAACTGACAGAGAACAGATACAGTAAGATAACACAGCATACTCCTTTTCCATTTTACTACAACTATTAACCTAAAGAGCAAACCCATGTCTAAGGATTTTTCCTTCTTCCTAAGATTTTTTTGAGGCAAATACTTCTTGCCATTCAGCGGCTTCTTACTGGAACTTCCTGATGCAAATACCTCTTCACATGCAGGGTCTTTTCTTCCACATCCCACTGTGACTCCTGCAGAGAGGAACTGTTCTAGGTAAATGAAATTGTTGAGGCTTTACTTACTGTTTAACCAGTTTGAAATGGATCTGTTCTCTAGGCTTACAACTGCATTGAACTGCTAATAGGATTCATCTTCAATGAGGCAATCGAACACTTCTAAACTGCTCTAATGGCCTGGACAGCTAACGGGAATCCTTCAACACAGATCAACTACTTCATATTCCACCTTCTGCTCCTCCAGCTACTCTGGGATTCCTGCTAGAGAGAGGGAGAAGCAAATTAGACACCAAATAGATAGGCTTTCTAGGGTGTATTACAGGGCTTTAATCAGTTATCTTGCTATCAGAAGAGGAAAACCTGCTATTAATTGGGATGTAATGTGATTGGCTGATGAGTTTTTCATCTTCAACAAGTTTTTAGTTGCATTAGCAAGCTAAAAATGGGCCATCTAGCCCAGCGTAAGCAGTATTGTTTTCAAGAAGTACACTGGCTACCCCCTTGAACTCCAGGAATACAATTAGGTAGGGAAAAAAAAGCTACAAAGCTGTAGCTGAAGCTACAAAGAAAGGAAAGGATAATAGAAGACATTTGCCTGTTAGATCAGTGGAGCCTTTCAATCAGTTGAGTGACATATTTGAATCCAATATATGCAGTTAGTCCCTACAGTTCCTTGTTATCTCACGGGTGTTTGGGGACCCAAACTGAAGGAAAAAAAAAAAAAGACTTTATTTTTACCCACCATAAGAGACATAAGTGGATTACAAACATAATTTTGTGAACTGTTGCAGCCCAGAGATTCATGGAAATTCCAGTGCTTTGAGTTCAGATTATATGTGGGAAACCATTTTTTTTCCCCTCCTCCCCCCCTCCCCCCCCCCCCCCCCTTCAAACTCT